GAAGGGGGGGGGGGGGTCGTATTTCCATTTCCCAGCCCAAATTTTGACTAAATCCCATTGTCCCAGAGCACAAATCCCATCATCTCAGTGGCCGTCCTGCTCAAATCTTAATCCCATTCCCATTTTCTATTGTTTTTTTTTCTGATGAATCCCAGTCCCAGTGCATGAAATCCCATTTTCCCACCCAAAAAATAAGCAAATCCCAGTTCCCATTTTACCCCTTCAGGACCCTCACCTAAGCAACAAAATTTTAATTGAATGTTATGTTAACTGCAGGTGTGTCAGGTGGCTGCTTACAGTCTTGGCCACGGCTTGACTGTTGATCAGATCTCAATCAGACCAGCAACGACTTTTATGAACCCGAACGGTACGAAATGAAAGGGAGAACACTCTCTTATATTCTCTTATATATTTGCCAGAATGTAACCTCAAAGAACAGTCTATGCCAGTGTTGGTTGCGACGGTAACAATACAACTACGTATTGATAAAGATACAACCACACACGTCAAAATTTCACATCTTGTAGCAAGTCTGCCAACAAGCCGGCAACAAGTTATGTTCGCACTGCTTGTCCCCAGTTGTCAACAAGTTTGGAACAAGCTGTTGACAACTTATAACAAGCTTGATGGCATTGTCAGACTTAAGTTCTTTGTATATGTTTGCATGGCGATAAAATATAATAGTTTTGTTTGTGGAAACACCACGTAAATTTATTACTGCAAAGGTTTCGATCCGTAAGCCCGGATCTTCATCAGTGCTAATAATCAGCACTATTATTAGCACTGATGAAGGTCCGGGCTTATGGATCGAAAGCTTTGCAGTAATAAATTTACGTGGTGTTTCCACAAACAAAACTATTATTATTATCAGACTTGTGCAAGGTTGTTCCAACAATTCCGATACAGTCATGGTATAACAATATTGTTCCATTCCTGTAGGTGCAGCAACGTGGTCAAGCGTAACAAGTGAACTTTGTTGTGAGGTATTGGAATTCCTGGTTATAACCTTGTCGTTACGATGGCTGATGTAATAGTGTCTAATAAATGTATACATTTGTCCTTACGCAATTCCATTTCTCGCACAGATTTTCGTGTTAAAACGTTTGGTATTTTTTACGATGTACAGAAAACATTACGCACATCTAATTATATTTGTCTTCTATTTTGTTTTTAGGCAGTTCTGAATTGCTGTACTGCTCTTAAAGAGAGGATAGATACAGTTGCAAAAGACATGCCCAGCGCAACATGGGTTGAAATTATCGAGAAGTGTTATTCATTGGGTGTTGATTTGTCCGCGAAATACATGTAGGTATTAGACCAACCAGGGAAGATCTTCTATGGAGAACAGTTTAGAAGTTAGAACCAATAGAGCTATCCAGTGTAAATAAAGTTAGTTTAGTTCAGGTTTCCTCCTGTAGTAACACTGGATCAATAAGAGATTATCCTTACTGAACCTCTAGGGAGAAGAGTTTAGAACTAATAGAGCTATCCAGTATAAATAAAGTTTTAGTTTAGTTTAGGTTTCCTCCTGTGGTAACACTGGATCAATAAGAGATAATCTTTACTGGACTTCTAGGAAGAACAGTTTAGAACTGATAGAGCTATTCAGTATAAACAAAGTTAGTTTAGGGACCGGTCATAAAGTAACTCCTAGGGTGGGCTGGAGTGATTTAGGATGGGCCATGGAAAATATTTGGGCAGTTTCGATGGGCCGCCAATTTTTTTGTTTGTCCACGGTTGGGCCACCAAAAAAACCCCATGCATGTCTACTTCAAAAAATAAATATATTAATAATAAAAGTAAACAAAACTATCCAAATTATCAAATGCAAATGATGCTATTGAAGCCAATACTTTGTTTATACAACAACAAGAAGTGGTCGAATCACAGCAAATACAACCAACTGGAGAGCAGCTCAGTATCGTAATTGGTGATGAATGTGTTGGTCAAGCTTGGTGGAATTATGTGTGTCAATACAGTGCCGGTGTACAGTATATTTACAATGTTCATACCTGCAAGTTTTTTTTATTATAAAAGTGTATTTTCCCAATTTAAATTGGGTGAGTCATGAAAAATGTTTTGTAAGATTAGATGGGCTTTGAAATTTTTATCTACATCCTAAGATGGGTCACCAAACTTATTGGCAAAATTTGTGATTTACCTCCAGCCCACTCTAGCAGTTACTTTATGACCAGTCCCTTAGATTAGGTTTAGAATTGATAGAGCTATCCAGTATAAATGAAGTTAGTTTAGTTTAGGTTTCCTCCTGTAGTAACACTAGATCAATAAGAGATGATCCTTACTGGACCTCTAGGAAGAACAGTTTAGAACTGATAGAGCTATCCAGTATAAATAAAGTTAGTTTACAAACTAAATTTGTCATGTCCCCACAGGGTGTATCCTCAAAACAGTCACGAGTTCAACTACAACACATATGGCAGCACATGCACTGAAGCGGAGATAGATGTTCTCACAGGAGAGGCAGAGATACTGAGGGCAGATATTCTGTACGACTGTGGCAGAAGGTAAGCCAGTTTTGTTCCATTCTACCGGTATGCTTATATTATCACAACAGTCGTAACTTAGGGCACTCGGACACTACATAAATTATACATAAATTATACAATTAACCAATTGCGTGTTCAGTTTAGTCTGCCCGGAAAAGTAAGGCAAACTTTTGCTATCTCATTCAATTTTTATCTAAATTGAACTAAAATTTAATCAATTTGTCCTTGTGATGTTTCTACAGTATTAGCCCCAGGTTGGTTTACATACCTAAATATTGCTCTTTTAATATATTGAGCTTGTAGGGATAGGGTAGGGTAGGGATACAACTACCTGAAAAAAAGATAAGGAGAAATTTGATGTTTTGAGCGAAGGTCCTTCGTCTGAAAGTAGGCAGAGACAGTTACTGACAAAGCCTCTGAATTTTTTGCATATTTTGTATTGGTTTTATTGTGTAGCATGAATCCTGAAATCGATGTTGGTCAGGTTGAAGGAGCTTTCATTATGGGGCTGGGTTACTGGTTGACTGAGCAGGCAATCTATGATCCAACCACTGGCCTTCAACTCAATACTGGAACATGGGTATGTAATACACGCGGAAAAATCTCACATCTTGTGTAGCCAGGCCTTAAAATATCTTTTACAAGGGCCGTCTGACAAAATGTCTGGTGACGTTGAGTTTGGGTCGGACATATGTCCGATGACCTTCAGTTCAGTTTTGACTCGGAAATAAGTCTGAATGACACAAATTAATAAACGGTAAATGTTGTAAAGATATTAAATAATTTGTTTCTTTCATACTTATTTCCTAGCCAAAATTAACTTGCTTGCCAGAACAGCAGTGTTAAAAAAGACTTCGACAACTTAAGCCCGTTTTCCACTTCACCATTTCGCTCGCCGCCCCGCGCTCGACTACGTTAAAACAACATTTCCAGTACACCTTTTATACAATAGTACTCTTGATTTTCCATTTAACATACAAGCCTCTAGTCCTAGGCTAGGGTACATTTTGATTTACGTCGGACAAAGGCAAAGCTACAGTTCGGTCGGACACCAATACACTCGGGTCGGACAAACAATAAACCTCAGTTTCATTTTGGTCGGACAGAATGTCCGGTGGTTTTCTCTCTACGTCGGACAATTTCACGAATGGGTCGGACAATGTCCGTGACCGACCGATATTTTAAGGCCTGACTTGTAGCAAGTCTGCCAACAAGCCTTCAATAAGTTGTGTTCGCACTGCTTGTCACAAGTTGTCAACAAGTTTGGAACAGGCTGTTAACAACTTGTAACAATGCAATTTTGATGGCATTGTCAGACTTGTTGCAAGGTTGTTCCAACAAGTCCGATACAGTCATGATATAACAATATTGTTACTACCTTGTGTCGTCAACCTTGTAACATTCTTGTTATATCATGACTGTATCGGACTTGTTAGAACAACTTTGTATCAAATCCAATAATGCAATCAAGGTTGTTACAAGTTGTTAACAGCTTGTTCCAAACTTGTTACAACACAAGTAACAAGTTCGGTTTGTTACTGTAAGTTGTCAACAAAGTTGTTGTCAAGCCGATATCCGGATGTGTTCTCACTGCTTGTTCCCAGTTGTTGTGACAAGTCTGGAACAAGTTGTTATCACCTTGTTACAAGGTTGATGACGGTAACAGACTTGCTACAAGTTGTTCCAGCAAGACTAATACAGGCTGTTCGTAACAAGTTGCTACGAGCTTGTTGTCATCAACTTGTTAACAACTTGTTACGTGCAGACGATATTAGACTTATTAGAACAACTTGTTGCCAGTCAGATAATGGCCTCATCAACCTTGTTACAAGATGATTACAACTTGTTCCAGACTTGTCAACAACTTGGAATAAGCAGTGCGAACACATCTTGTTATAATATAACTTATAGTTCGTATCCTATATTGTTTGTTTGTTTGTTGTTTAGGACTATCACCCCCCATTTTCCAAGGATATTCCTATAGATTTCCGGGTGTCGCTCCTCAAAGACGCGCCAAACCCGCTGGGAGTTCTTCGCTCCAAAGGTGAATAATTAACTTGATTAATATTCAAAAGACACAATATTTTTATATTTTAGAGCGGCCGCTCTCTTCGCTTATTTTAGTGTGTCTAGATGGCCAAAACTTTAGCTAAAGTTTAAAAATGAATAACGAATGATCAAATAAACTGTATTTAAATTAAGCAGTCGAAAGCAGTCGTGGATTGTGTCTGAACTACGGTAAATACTTTCATTCGAGCAAAGTCATCGTAGGGCCGTCGTTCAAAATTTCAAAATGCTTGTAATATTTTGAGGTAGTTTAGACACAAACCACGGCAGTAGCACACGTTTGAGATATCAAAATTAAGCCTGCTAATCTTTCTGTGTTGAACTAAATATTTAAATTTCCCGCCTTGTCAGCCAAACACGTCAACATCAACCTGGCTGAACATGTATGGTATAATTTCGCGTTCGTTTACTCGCTAAAGTACAAGAGAAATATCAAGTTTTACTCACATATTTCGACGCTTTAGGCTGCATACATTCGGAAACCATAACTTGACGCCCTCTGCTTTTCCAAAAGACATGTTTGTAGCCGTCTTTAAGACCAAATTTGAGCACGTTTAAGACAAAATTGAATAGCACAAGAGCGGTTCTCGCGACCAGCACGAGACAACTTTGGTGGAAGCAGAATTTCGGAACTATCCAATCAAAACCTAGGAAATTTAAATATCGTTCGTATTTGTGACGTGATTGGTTGGATTTTTAAAGTGTGTATATTTAATTTAATTTAATTTAATTTATGGTCAATGTTACTTTTGGGTATATTTAAGGCCGCGTTTACACTTTCAGTTTTCGCTGCGATTTCTGTACTTCTGGCGCGATTTTCTGATGCAGGTGAACGAGTAGTAAACCTTTGAATATACAAGTTCTGGGCATATATTCAAGAACAAACACTCGGCCTCGTGCAATTTTGATCGCCTTTGAAAAACTCACTCGTACATATTTTTCCAAATTGTACTCGAAACCATACTATTGTAGTCAATAACCTGAGTGTACCAATTATCGGCTGCATGGTTTGGGTTTTGCAATGCATGTACTAATTCTGGCAAATTCTCCGTCATATTTTACAGCGGTTGGCGAGCCACCTCAATGCATGTCGTGTTCATGTCTCTTCGCTGTCCAAGATGCCATCTATCATGCCCGAGAAGAAATTGGAAAAGACAAAGATTATTTTGCATTGGACGGCCCGGCTACCGTCGAGGCGACGCAATTGAAATGCTTGGTCGATCCTTCGCAATTTGTATTTTAATTGGAACAAAACTCGTTAACTTTTGATCTGAAATATACCAAAAAAAGACTCTTATCCCATTACCATCTAGTATATATATACTGTAGCTATCAGGGGCGTGTTGTTCAAAAGTAGATTAGCGCTAACTTTGGGTTAAAATTTAACCTGCTGTCTTGGTATGTTCATTTCAAAACTTTTGGAAATAAAACTTCTAATGATCCAGACAAGATTTTTGGAACAATGTTTCCATGATTATAAAAAAAACTATTGGGAGAATGCTTTGACGTTTTTCGTTAACCCAGGATTAAGCGAACAGGTTTTTGAACAACCGACCCTATAGGGGAAATGATCAGAGATATTTGTAGTGTCATTAATACGTTTTGTATATCAAAATATATTTTGTCAAAAACCTTGAAATTATTGAAAATAAAAATAAATATGTATTCAATCTGTTCAAAGACTGATTAGCAATCATTGCTCATGTTGTTTGGTTTTGCGTGTTGGATGTTCAACATTAGCGAAGAATAAGTAGGAATCTACCGTGGGCTTTCGTTCTCAGTGAATATTGTAGAAAAAAAATAAAAACGTAATTTCAAATATCGCTCAATGACATAGGAAAAAAATTGTCCAGGGCGAAACCTGTTGTTATTACCACTAGGGCAAGAGCTCGGGGCTGCAAACTAACCACAACTGAACTAAGTACTCTTAATATTTTGTTCATTACGCATATTTTAATAATTTAAATGGAGAATCAGTCCGGATCCGAATTTGACACAAGGCACCGGCTCATTTCACCGAAATTCACCGGGCTTTAAATCGTCTTAAAATAGTTTAAATATGTTCATTAGGAAAGAATAAGTAGGAATCTACCGTTCGCTTTCGTCCTGCATGGGTCAATATTTTACAAGAGAAAGATAAAAACGTAATTTCAAATATTGCTCAATCATATAGGAAAAAATTTGTCCAGGGCGAAACCTGTAGTTATTACCACTAGGCCAAGAGCTCGGGGCTGCAAACTCTCCACAACTGAACTAAGTGGTCTTAATATTTTGTTCATTACGCATGTTTTAAATGGAAGATCAGTCGGGATCGAATTTGCCACAAGGCAGCAGCTCATTTCACCGGAATTCACCGGGCTTTAAATCGTCTGAAAATAGTTTAAATGTCTTCGTTAGGGAAGAATAAGTAGGAATCTACCGTTGGCGTTCGTCCTGGGTCAATATTTATGGAGAAAAAGCATATAAAGTATTTCAAAATTTTGTCACCGAATAAAATATTAAGACCACTAGTTCAGCTATGATCAATTCGCTATCTTGAACATGTGGTCCAGTGGTAAAAACTACAATCGTCAAATGAGTGATTAATCGATTCCCGCCGAACTAATTTTTTATATTTTTTTGCACTAAGAAACATTTGGAAATACGTTCTATTTTTTTCTCCCAAAATATTTTCTCAGGATGAAAGCCAACGGTATATTCCTACTTACTTTACCCAAAAGAACAGATACAAGCTATTTACACTGGATTTAAAACCCGGTGAATTCCGGTGAAATCAGCTCGTTTCTCATGTAAAATCTTGCTCCTACCCACTAGTATAGTTCAGTTGCAATCAGTTTGCAACCCTGAACATTTGGTCTGGTGGTAAAAAGCTCTAGATGTCAAATGAGTGATGCATGGATCGATTCCCGCCCAGCTATTTTTTTATATTTTTGTATATTAAGCCATATTTAGAAATACGTTTAGTGTTTATGTTTCTCCAAATTATTCTCCCAGAATCAACACCAACTGTACATTCATGCTTACCTTCCCCCTTGAACACCTGCATACATAGTATAAGCTATTATTTATAATGTTTTCAAGTGGGATGGAATCGGGTGCAAATGGAGAGAATTTCACACAAGGCAGCAGCTCATTTCACCGGAATTCACCGGGCTTTAAATCGTCTGAAAATAGTTTAAATGTGTTCATTAGGGAAGAATAAGTAGGAATCTACCGTTCGCTTTTGTCCTGAGTGAATATTGTAGGAAAAAAAATAAAAATATAATTTCAAATATCGCCCAACGACATTGGAAAAAATTTGTCCAGGACGACACCTGCAGTTATTACCACTAGACCAGGAGCTCGGAGCTGCGAATTCACCACAACTGAACTAAGTGGTCTTAATATTTTGTTCATTATGCATGTTTTAAATGGAGGATCAGTCCTGACTATTTAGCTGTTAGGAGGAGCGATTTAGAGACTTTTTTTGAAAAATAATGGCAAAAAGAAATAAAGAAAAAATTTACGAAAAATTACGAGAGTTTCACCTGGGAACGGTCCACAACTTTCGCTCATGATGGCCTCAGTCTTTACCACTATACCATGATGGCAACGATGTAAACAGCTAACATATTACAATACCTCAATATTCTCTGTTTTGCATTGTACTAGCTGTATGTAGATTTTTTCGATTTCACCCTACAGAAGAATGCTCTTCAGCACTCTACATCCTTGTTCATCCCGCGTCATCCTTGCTTAAATCGACTCAAAATTGTCCTGATATACAAAAAAGTATCAAAATATGAATTTTCAGCTGTTACGAGGAGTAATTTAGAGACTTTTAACTTTTATATATGAGGCGTGCTTATGAGAATCCCTATATGGGGTGTCTCATAAGCACGCAAGAAAATTATGCAGTTTGGTCATAAGCATGCTCAAAAGCATTTTACAAGATGTTGGTACATCTTTTGGGCGTGCTTATGAGAATCCCTATATGGGGTGTCTCATAAGCACGCAAGAAAATTATGCAGTTTGGTCATAAGCATGGTCAAAAGCTTATTACAAGATGTTGGTACATATATGACGCGTGCTTATGAGAATTCCTATAAGGGGTGTCTCACAAGCACGCAAGAAAATTATGCAGTTTGGTCATAAGCATGCTCAAAAGCATGTTACAAGATGTTGGTACATCTTTTGGGCGTGCTTATGAGAATCCCTATATGGGGTGTCTCACAAGCACGCAAGAAAATTATGCAGTTTGGTCATAAGCATGCTCAAAAGCATGTTACAAGATGTTGGTACTTATATGACGCGTGCTTATGAGAATCCCTATAAGGGGTGTCTCATAAGCACGCAAGGAAATTATGCAGTTTGGTCATAAGCATGCTCAAAAGCATGTTACAAGATGTTGGTACATCTTTTGGGCGTGCTTATGAGAATCCCTATATGGCGTGTCTCATAAGCACGCAAGAAAATTATGCAGTTTGGTCATAAGCATGCTCAAAAGCATGTTACAAGATGTTGGTACATCTTTTGGGCGTGATTATGAGAATCCCTATATGGCGTGTCTCATAAGCACGCAAGAAAATTATGCAGTTTGGTCATAAGCACGCTCAAAAGCACGTTACAAGATGTTGGTAGATATATGGGCCGTGCTTATGAGAATCCCTATATGAGGTGTCTCATAAGCACGCAAGAAAATTATGCAGTTTGGTCATAAGCATGCTCAAAAGCATGTTACAAGATGTTGGTACATATTTTGGGCGTCATTATGAGAATCCCTATATGGCGTGTCTCAAAAGCACGCAAGAAAATTATGCAGTTTGGTCATAAGCATGGTCAAAAGCTTATTACAAGATGTTGGTACATATGTGGGGCGTGCTTATGAGAATCCCTATAAGGGGTGTCTCATAAGCACGCAAGAAAATTATGCAGTTTGGTCATAAGCTTGGTCAAAAGCTTATTACAAGATGTTGATACATATATGACGCGTGCTTATGAGAATCCCTATAAGGCTGTCTCATAAGCACGCAAGAAAATTATGCAGTTTGGTCATAAGCATGGTCAAAAGCATGTTACAAGATGTTGGTACATCTTTTGGGCGTGCTTATGAGAATCCCTATATGGGGTGTCTCATAAGCACGCAAGAAAATTATGCAATTTGGTCATAAGCATGCTCAAAAGCATGTTACAAGATGTTGCTACATATATTGGGCGTGCTTATGAGAATCCCTAAATGAGGTGTCTCATAAGCACGCAAGAACATTATGCAGTTTGGTCATAAGCATGGTCAAAAGCATGTCACAAGATGTTGGTACATGTATTGGGCGTGTTTATGAGAATCCCTAATGGGCTGTCTCATAAGCACGCAAGAAAATTATGCAGTTTGGTCGTAAGCATGGTCAAAAGCATCTTACTAGATGTAGCTATATATATTGGGCGTGCTTATGAGAATGCCTATATGGCAATATTTTCTTATACTTGCAAACGGATTTTGCACATAGAGGTATAAGAAGAATAAAAAATAGTCAGAATAAATAACGGGAAAAAATGTTGTGAGTCTGCTACAAAACATGAGTTCAACTGGATTTGAACTCAAATGTTTATCGAGACAGGCCAAACGACATACCACTAAGCCATCAGTGGACGACTTGTAATTGTGGTAAAACTAAAAACACAAGTACATTGTTGTGACCTGCTCATCTCATGAGGTGAATCTCATATGGGGCAAAATAAAAAAAAAATTGTGATAGACCGACTGAAAAAGGTCCAAAACGCATATTGATGCAGAAAGTTTTCGAACAGGCGAATTTTAATGCGCATTTTGATATAAAAAATGCTTAGCCGCGCCTAGCCGTGTTTTAATATACTTTCTAATACGCTTAGCCGTTCGCCGGCTTCGTGGATCGACGTGGATGGAGTCACTTAAACTAGAAGTTACTATCGCAAGGCAACTGCTGCCTTCGTAAAACAAAGTAAACTTAGAAAATTTCGAACCATTTTTCGGTTTAGAACGACTTACAAATGTTCAAAAGGAATATTGATGCAAAAAGTTTTGATACAGGGGAATTTTAATGCGCATTTTGATATAAAAAATGCTTAGCCGTCCTTAGCCGTGTTTTTATATACTTTCTACTACGCTCAGCCGTTCGCCGTCTTCCTGCATCGAGTCAACTAAAACTAGAAGTTACTATCGGAAGGCAAGTGCTGCCTTTTTAAACCAAATTCAAACGTTGAAAATTTCAGGCCATATTTCGGTTTAAATCGACTTAGAAATGTTCAAAATACATATTCATGCAAAACGTTTTGGTACAGGGGACTTTAATGCGCATTTTGATATAAAAAATGCTTAGCCGTCCTTAGCCGTGTTTTAATAAACTTTCTACTACGCTTAGCCGTTCGCCGGCTTCGTGATAGAGTCAACTATAAACCAGAAGTCACTATCGCAAGGCAAGTGCTGCCTTAAATTCTTGTGAAATTACACAATATAGAATGATTAGCTTATTCTTTTCGAGCCCGGTTCAACATCGCAATATTTTCTTATACTTGCAAACGGATTTCCCACATAGAGGAATAAAAAGCATAAAAAATAGTCACAATAAATAAAGAAGAAAAAATATTGTGAGTCTGCTACAAAACATGAGTTCAACTGGATTTGAACTCAAATGCTTATCTACACAGGCC